GATTTTGGGGTAAACTGAGGCAGTGAGTAGTGGGCAGGTAAGGAAAGTTGTGGGGGTAAAACTTGAGAAAATGAATATTTGGAGGTAAACCCGAGGTAATGAGTAGTGTGCAGGTTGAGAAAAGTGTGGGGGTTAAATCTGAGGTGATCTCTGGGGGACAGAATGACCTGATCTGTGCCCACTGCTCATTATTCACCCAGCAAAAATCCAAAGCAAGTCTTGGTTTGGTTTGAAGAACTTCAATAACTATAAAATAATATAAATCAGCCTTTTCTCCTTCTTGTTTCCTTTTAGATGGTGGAATTGCCTCTCTGTCCATGTGCTGAGCTCCATCTGCAGGGGACTGTCAGGCATTGTTGGCTGTGAGTTTGTGTTCTTCTCTCTGGGAAATTGGAAGGAATTATCACTTAGATTGCAGAAATGTTTTCTGAACCCTTTGCCTTTTGTCTGCCTTTGGCTGATAGACAGGTGGGGAAAATTTTGGGGTAAAATGTGGGGCAGTGTGTAGCAGAGAGAAGGAAGATTTTGGGGTAAACTGAGGCCATCGGTAGTGGGCAGGTAAGGAAAGTTGTGGGGGTCAAACTTGAGAAAATCTCCAGGGTAGGAAATGAACTTTTGGAGGTAAAAAAGAGTTAATGAGTAGTGTGCAGGTAGAGAAAAGTGTGGGGGTTAAATCTGAGGTGATCTGTGGGGGAGAGAATGAAGATCTTGTGCTAAAAATGAGGTGACCAGTTGTGGGCTTCAAGGGCAAGTTCTGGGGCTTATAAAGGAGGTTGATTCTCTGCAGGGAGTGAATGAATCTCTTGAGGTCAACTGAGGTGATGAGTGGTGGGCAGGTGTGGAAAATGTGGGGTGTTAAAGTTCAGGTAATGTGGTGGGCAGAGAGTGAGTGTTTGGAGGTGACTTGAGGTTCTGAGCCGTGGCCAGGAGGAGCTAATTTTGGGGTGTCCCCTTGAGTTTTTGCTTTGCCCCGTGGGTGCAGCGAGGCCGAGCCCTGTCCCTGCTTTGGTGGGCATCCAGGTCAGGCTCCATTTGGCCTCGTGTCCAGGGCTGCAGGGTCTGAGGGATTGG